TGCACATTTACACTTGGTTGTTACTATGAACTACTATTTGGAGCATACTTAGTAATACCATGCCCCTGGCAAGTGCATATTTGCGAGGTTTTGCCGTATTTGGAGTAGAAACAGTGCAGGTAACGGCCATTTTAAACTTGCCAACTTGTAAGCTTTATTACACCAAAATCGTTGTAATCAGTCTAACTACGCCCGCTCCAGTACAAAAGACTCTGCTATGTTTTGCCAATTAACTAAATCTTGTGCATGCTGTAGCCACGTTATCAGCAAAATCTCACTGCCACCCAACTCTGCCCCACAGTGTGTCTAGCAGTTTTGAAGCAGTTTTGAAGCAGTTTGGGAGCAGCTAAATTACAGTTTCAGATGTGACATGGCACATGACATCAGACCATTTCAGATTATACGGTCATGCATCATATATTAAAATAATCAACCTGACAATACTACAATACAACCGTTTATTTGCCTCAAGGGCCAGGAAACAAGCTATGACATTTTTACACCTTCCAAACAATCGTGCTAATTCATGTAGAAAGCTGCAGCGATGAGTTTTTCCCAATGTCACAGCAGTGCATACCACACAAACTCCCCATTTTGAAAAACGATTCCTGCGCCCCCCTCCTCTGCCTGACCAGTCCTTTTCGCCCGTGCCGTGACTTAACTTTGCCCATAGGCAACGACATTGTCGGTTGGTTCTCTGCTCTACAAAATGATGCCTTTGCCCTGTGGTGATGCAGTTTCGGCCACGCAGTCCACATTTTCATTTTATTGGGCTGTCCTCTTACATTTTAGAAGAGCCAAAACTACTACGACAAGCGGTACCACCTCAACAAAAGCCGCCTACATCAAGAGGTATCTCGCAACTTTACCGCCAGGGTGCATGCACCATGGCATATTTTCTTGCCAGTACCTCGCTACTTTCACACCGTACTTCCTCACAGAGCTGCATTAGCACAAGGGACACGTAAAAGAAAGGTTGCTAGGTCGTTGGTTGCACACTGATGATGCACACAGTAACGTCATGTTACGTTGACAAACAGTGAGAAACTGGAACCAGCCAGATGCGGGTTGTTCTATACTCTTTAACTCTTTATTAAAACACTTTTTCACAAAATTATTGTGGCAGCATGTTCACATCGTACAAGTGCACAGTCGCCTCTCCATCACAAATTTTCGATCGGGAGGTTGTTTACTGGCCCTTTAAGAAACGCTTGTGTGGTAGGCTTAAGGGCACAAGGTAGGCCCTAGACTTGTGTTTTCAGGCTTATTTAAGACACACTTTTTCAGAGACTTATATAAAGTCTACTGGTTTGCTTTACTTAATTTGTTCCACACTTACTCTTGTATTTGAGCTAAAAGTACAGCTGTGATTCAAGTGGTGACATTTTTGCGATTTTTTAGCAAAGCAAACACTTTTGCCATTTCTAAAATAAAACCATTAACATTAAAATTATTCTGCAAATGCACATTATTCTAGCCCAGTAGCTTTGTATTGGTGAACAATTTAATATCGTAAAAATCACCCTTCTGTATTTGCTAGTTGCTCTCATAGAGGGGCATATGTAGCGAAAAAATTCCGATTAAAAGATAAATGTCAGTTAAAGAGAAAAATACATGTTTCATATTTACTGAATAAGAAGATGTACTGAACAGTTTAGTTGATAGACACAAGCCAAATACTAATCACACAAATCAGCCTTTTGCTTCATTTCTTGGTTTCCTGGCTTGCTTCATTATATTTTCTGTCTCTATTGGCAAAATAGAGTCAACTGCGGTCAATCTCACCTAGCCATATGACAATGATGCATTTCTGTGATGTGCCAAACGGCCATGAGAATGTTCAGTCTGGCCACCATGTGCAGACCTCGTTAAAAGTTGGAGCAAGTTCAAAAGTGCCAGATCTGAGGGTTTCGGTTCCGAAGAATAAGATCCATTGTGTTTTCTATGAGCGCGATGGTTCCTCCATTGTCTATGAAGACGGTTACTCATCACACTGTGTAGAACTCTACATCAATCAAAGTACAGCCATTGTCACTACAGGCAATCTACACTTTCATCTTTGCGGTAATGCAGAATGAGGACAGAACTTACTTGCTAAAATGTTCGCTTGATTTCTCACTGTCTCGTTTTTTTTTTTTAGTGGCCAAAATGTAGGTTTCGAGTTCTAGTGCACTTTCAAAACTTTTTCTGACTTTATAAGCACAAAAATATTTTTTCCGCCGTAACAAAATGAACAAAGGTGCAACTAAACTCAAATTAAACACACACAAGGTCTCCAAGCTTGTTTCATACATAAGGCAAATGGACTCAGTAAAGTCCATGCACATGTAAAAAAAAGGCTGCACCAAGCGCATTTAGATAAGCGATACTACTAAACAAAAATTTGCGATTTTAAGATAAACTACCCGCTTCGGCTTTCAAAAATTCACTTGCAGTAAGCCCAGGTTAATGAGTTAATGCGTAAGTTAACTGAACATTTTATTATTCCTTGGCTTGCATCCTTTGCTGTCAATAAACAATGGGTAGTTAGCACTCCTCTCTCTTTCTTCCTTTCCTGTCCTTATGTTCCAAGCTTTGCACCACAAATAACATGTTTAGTAAAGCTCAGGTTATGCACGGCCTGAAAAAAGGGCACATGGCTACTCATCAGTCAGTCACAAACACCTCGTCCTTTTGTCTCAATACAGAAGACACAAAAATGCATGGGGCATCGGGTGTTAAGAAAAGGCCTCATAATTGCAAACAAAACAAAAAAAACAATTTTCTTTTTTTCTACCCTACCGATTTTCTTTTTTTTTTTTTTTACCTTCAATCACTGGAGTTGGTCCCTCAATACCAACACCGGTCGTATTTCAATGTCAATGGATCTCAATAAAATTCGCTGGGTATGTTCTTTGACATGTTTGCAGAATTTATGCAAAATTATAGGCTACAGAGGTACGCTCATCGTTTTCAAATAAACTTTACTGATTGCCTCGAACTGCCCACCTGGTTTCCCACAATTATTGGTCACATAGTGCAAGTGACATCATTTAAGGCAAAGCAACAGAAGTAGCTGAACTACAGAGAAAGAAGTACTTGAGGAGGAGAAACATCAATGCTGAAGCAGCACATAAGGGTGACACAATTGTGTCATGGAGGAATGCGATTTATGCTGAAGCTCGACAGATTATGTTTTCAGCGTGTTGCTACTTTTTAAAAGTGCTATAGACGCAGTGCATAAAAATCATGAGAATGCCTTGTACACTATAAACGTTTACAGATTTCTGTCTGTAACATCAATTAGTTGATGTGACAGATATTTTATCTACAGTGACTAATTGTTGCTACCAGAAATACAGGTCATACAGCCAGGGGTATAAGCACAAATTTTTTTCGGGGAGGGCACCACATTGATTTGAAGGCAGGGGCTGGGTAGGCAGATGTAGTCCAGTGTTATTTTATTCTCCGTATGCTATGGCGAAAAAAAGCATTTTGGGGGTAGGGGGGTATGAGACAGGACTGGTGTGCCACCTCCTGGCTATGCCACTTCATTGAGCCCTTCAAAGGAGTTGCTAGTAATGGCCCCAAGTAGATGGCACCTGTCATATGCACGCACCCCTTGCTCGCACATTGTGCAGATAGATGCGTAGGTGGCCTTGGGAGGGAAAGTTTTCAACAATCTGCCGCGCATCACTTCGAGAATTGCAGGCTTGCTCTCTCTCTAGCGCTCAGTGGCTTCCCCGCATTGTGCCGGTGGCGCCGACTCCTCGATGCTTGCGCACGTTTTTCGCACCATGACAAAGGAGAGTGCTTTGCAGATTCTGAATAGTGCTTCTTCAGGACACAAGAAAAGCATGTGCCCAACTGCAACAGTGGGTACGTGTCCTGCACAGAAGGTTAGAAACCTTCAAAGTTTCTAGCGACCCAGCAAGGTTGGAAGTGTAGGCTTGTGTTATACCCCGGACAGACCGACATCTGACGCCTCACGACTATGTTTGTGAGAAGCACTTCTTTGACCGTGCCATAGACAGCGGGCGCTATTACGACAAGCTTGGTGGCAAAGTTCCCCTAGACAAACCAAAACGGCCAGTGTTGCTACCAGATGCAGTGCCTTCAATCTTACTGGAATGTCCCAGCTACTCGTCTGCTGTTTGTAAAAAAAAGAGAGAGAGAGAGAGAGAAAACTGGACCTTAACTTAAGTGTGGAAAGCCTGCAAAGACAAGTACTTCGTTGGCTCAAGGTACAAACATGCCTGCTGCTAACAAGGGTGAAGAAATTGAGATTAGGTGTACTGTAACCTTCTCTTCCCCCAAGTTCAGTGCATTGAACTATGAAAAAACAGGCATCAGCATCCGCAAGGTCGAAGGCACAATACAGCGATCTGTGCTGGTAGTTTTCATTTTATTTCCATTTTTCTTTGAATTTGCGGTCAAGGCGGACTTCTATGCCGGTAGACTTTTGCAACAGAGGGCGTGTCAGTGCTGTGTCCGATTTCGTGACTTTATTAAAACACCCGAGCAAGCATAGTTTCGACTCAAGAATTCTTATTTCGTAGGTGGAAGTAGGTGGAACCACAGTACCATTACAGAGTTTCCATGGAGAAAAAATACCCTCCTGAACAAGAGCGTAATAAAGTTGTCACCATCTCTGTTATGTACGCATATCATGTAAATAAGATTGTTATGGTTTTTAAAAGCAGTAAACACTGTAATATCATAGCAAGAGAGCCTGAAGCCAGGTCATAGGGAACAGCTTGTGTTTCTGCATGACGATTTGTAGTTTTTCAGTAACAGTCACTCACCATGCTATGTGTTCAAGGACATGAGCAGATCTCATTTCCGTTTTTTCTTTCAAATTTTCAACATCTTTTATATTCAATTTTATATTTTGGGCCTATACTTTATTCCACTATACACATGCACACCCAAGTGCATATAATGAAGCAATCAAAGTCAACACAACAAAAATATTAGTTTTAACACAAAGTTCATAAAAAAGTTAAGTAAAAAAGACTTACCATAATTGTGTGGCTTGTAAAATCTGCTCTGACAGATCGCACAAATTGTACAAATGCCTCGGAGTAACCATTTGCAACATCAAGACAAATGTAGCGCAATGCGGGGATCTCTCTCAGGATGGCCTTCATCTTTTCATAGTCTGCTTCACCAGAGCCTGAGCTGACGGCAATATTCTGAATATAAAAAAATTATGATGCAGTGATCAAAAAATGAAAAAAATGAATCAAGATTGAGCATAACACTCTATACAATCATTATGGTATGAGAGAGACTCCTCATACGAAGGCATGGAAAGGTGTGTGATATTATCACGATAGCAATTATATGGACACTATCAGCTGGAGTTTGCCGCCAGCGTCGGCGTCACCCACCGTATATGTATATGTATGTATGTATATATGTGTGTGTGTGTGTGTGTGTGTGTATATATATATACGAAAATGCCAGAAAGAAAAAAATCCAGAAAGAGATTCCGGCACGCAGAATCGAACGTGGGAACTGCGTGTCGTGAATGCGAGACGTTAACCACTGAGCCACTGAGGGGCACGTCCCTCAACGTTCTAACGGCAAGCTATTTATATCTACCACTTACCGCTGTTGGCGGGCATCTCGGGGGGTCACTGAAATCGTTGCAAAGCCTCCGTTTGCAAAAGGACGCGCTTTTCAGCCACAACAAAGTAACAACTGAGACACTTATTCGTGTGAATCTGTACTTGTGAGTACGTTTAGTGCATCATTTGTGTGTCAGAAGTGCGGGGTACATTTCGATCTGCTTTCCATTCTGCGCGTGACCTACCGATTTGTTGCTATCACGTTCATTGCTTTGCCTTTGCGGCAAATCTGTGACCTTTTTTGGTTGAAAGCTAATAAACAATGTAATAAAAAAACATATACACACAAAAACATTTAAGACAAAGAAATTTCAGATCACACATTTCGAAGATAAATGACCCAGAATCAGCATGAGAAAATTATAAATGTTATAGACAATGTTTCCATTAACGGAGACAAAAACAATCTCAAACCAAGGTACTGCTTCACAGCTCGTGCTATGTGGTGAAGCATCTACTGGTTTTCGTGAGGCACAGATGCACTCATGCTTTTTTCACTTTTTTGTTTGTTTTTGTTGAACAGCCTGCTGGTGTTCCAATATTCATGAATGACTGCAATGTGAACAATGTCTATATAGTTCAGATGTCTAATGAACATCAGTTGTCTCTTTACACGAGCAACTTCTCTCCGCATAGGATGGCTTTCCAAAATATGCATCCACACACATTTATTTGTATTTTTATATGTAGTATAATGAACATCAGTTGTCTCTTTACACGAGCAACTTCTCTCCGCATAGGATGGCTTTCCAAAATATGCATCCACACACATTTATTTGTATTTTTATATGTAGTATAATCACAAAAAATAAAATCCTGCTCAGTCTTGAAATTTTTCGTGCTGCTCTTTAATAAAGGGCCACGATATCCTCCAGAGGCCTTCTTGTCATCGCGCCCCAGCGACTTGTGGACTTTGCATGTAACTAAAGTAGCTCCAAGACTGTACACAAAGGTAAACAGCTACGCATGAGTGGTGGAGGAGACCACTTGAGGCTGTTAATTAAATGAAACCCTGAATGACTGCAAGTGTCCCAGGCTGATGCATAGCATCGTCACAATCGGAGATTGAAGCTGAGGTGCTGTCATCTTCGGACTCAAAGCTCGTCATCATTCAAATGAGATGTAGTTGCAAGATAGGAAGATGATTTAGACTCCAACCAAAAGTTTTGAAGAAACCCGACGTTTTAAAACTGACTTTGTTCCTTCCTCAGGGGTGACTACGGAGCTACGTAGCAGCGGCGTCTTCAAAGCACTCTCGGGGCGGATAAGGACACCCCTCTCTCTTGTTTCGCCGTGGAGCACAGTCCATGTGTATACACTGGGGGAAGGGTTCCGAGACAGCGGTTGATGTTATGGGCTGTCCTCTGTATGTGCCACAACTCGAGTAGTAACCTTCTCCTCCAGTTCGGCTCGCTTTCAAGGATGGTTGTCGCTTCGAAATTGATTCAACATCTCAGCATGTTCAGCGACTGCGCTGCGCTCTTTGTAGAGCTTTTGCACATCGTTGGCGTGTTGCTTCAGTCATTCCGGTAGGTTTTTCGTCTCATCGATATACGAAGAGGGTCACTCGGCGCACGGAATTTAGTAAACGACACCGGGGGTCCTGTCCATTGTTGGCCGGTCTTTCGGGCGGGGGAAAAGGCGGCCCAGTGTTCACGAAGGCACGTGTGCGATGCGAACTCCTTCCTTCTTGAAGATCTGCGCCAACATCTCACTGGTTCCCTGAACGTATAAAACTGGTAGGCGTTTCGGGGGCTGCCAATTAATGTTGATTGGGGTTTTCGTATCCTCTGTTGCTCTGCGTGGCGGGTGGCAGCTCGAATGAGTACATAGAAGAAAAAGCACTCAGCTCCTTCTCGCTGCCACCCAAGCTTTTTCTCCGTTATATGGACGATTGCTTTTGCATCATGAAGACCTCTGAAATTCAAAACTTCAGACAGCACCTAAATTCCGTGCACCCAGCCATACGATTCACGACAGAGTGTGAAAACGACCACTGCCTTCCCTATCTTGGCGTCTAGGTGGCAAGAAAGCGCAACGACCTGGAGTTCTCCGTTTACAGGAAGCCAACGCACACTAGTACCTTCAATTTGATTCTTCCCACCCCGCCTGCCACAAGGCCTCGGTTGTGACCAGAGAGCTAAGAACTTATGCTCCAATGACAAGGAGCGAAAGAAAAAAGAGGCCCATGTAATTGCGGACCTCAGGAAAAACGGATACCCAAAAAACTTCATTCGAGCCGCCACCTGCCGCACAGAGCAACAGAGGATACGAAAAACCCCAATCAACATTAATTGACAGCCCCCTGAAACGCCTACCAATTCCATAAGTTCAGGGAACCAGCAAGATTTTGGCACAGATCTTCAAGAAGGAAGGGGTTCGCATCGCGCACGTGCCTTCGTGTACGCTGGGCCGCCTCCTCCCCCACCCGAAAGACCGGCCAACAATTGACAAGACCCCCAGTGTCGTTTACAAAATTTCGTGCGCTGAGTGCCTCTCTTCCTATATCAGCGAGACGAAAAACCTACTGGAACGACTGAAGCAATACGCTAACGATGTGCGGAAGCTCTACAATGAGCGCAGCGCAGTCGCTGAACATGCTGAGACGTTGGATCACCAAATAAATTTTGAAGCGACGACCATCCTTGAAAGCGAGCCGAACTGGAGGAGAAGGTTATTACTCGAGTCGTGGCACATACAGATGACAGCCCATAACATCAACCGCCCTCTCGGAACCCTTCCCCCAGTGTATACACATAGACTGTGCTCCACGGCAAAATGAGAGAGAGAGAGGGGGATTCACTATACGCCCCGCGAGTGCTTCGAAGACTGTGCTGCTACGTAGCTCCGCAGTCACCCCTTAGGAAGAAACCAAGTCGGTTTCGAAACGTCGGGTTTCGTCAAAACTTTTGGTTGGAGTCTAAATCATCACCCAGTTTCATACCCAACCAGACAGACTTCTGTCGAATGTTTACATTCAAGTTGCAAGATAGTGTCCATCACCACGCATTTTTAGTCTCACACCCATGTACGTATCACGACGACGCCAAAGGGGCGGCCAGCGACACTGGATTCTTCCCCTACTCTAAACAACAAAAGCTCTCTAGTGAATAACTTGCATAAATTTCAGGCAATTGCTACCGTGCAACACTGTTGAATTGGGAAGCTGTTAGCGTAATTTGATGTTTGACAAGTAAATATTCTTTTAACTGCAGAACTTTCATGTTAATGCAGCCTAACCACGAGCGGCAGGCATTTCTCTCAAGCTCGTTAACCGAGCCATTTCCCCAGCCCCTTACAAACATTAGCTCGCGAAAATATCTGTCAAAAATCACTATGTTGCCAAAACGGCCAAATTCAAACTGATTCTGAAAGTTCAGAGGCTGGACTAACTACTAGGAAGTGCTAGGCACAGAGGAAAATAAACCAACATGCAAAAATCAATGAATCAAATCATTGATCACCAGTGATCGATTTGAATAGGATGGTAACAAAAGAGTTAACCTTGCAAGTATTGTCAGCCACTTCAAGTCTCCACAACATCTGTGAAATCACAAGCAATTTAGGAAGTGCTTGTAAATAAAAAAACATATTTAATAATAACATCAGGGGCAGGTTAGACATGCTCAACCATAAGCACTAAAAGCACCCACAGAAATTTTGTAATGACTAGTCAGCACAAGAACCAAAAACAAATGGGAGGTGGCAATACATTAGCATGCGGTAAACAAAAGAATTTGAAATTTGAGTGGATCAGTTTCATGGTTTACAGCAACATATGAATTATATAAACATCTCAGGGCACATGTAACGCGATTCATAGTTAATGACTAACATTCTTACTGAATGTCACTACAGCCTTGCACTCCTGGTCTACACAGGCATACTAAAAGGCATTCAGAATTGATGTCAATATTGGTCATTTATCCAGTACGCTTTTTGTTGATTATTCCATGCTTAAAAAATGACAGCATTTGATTCCATGGCTGGTAGATAGATGTAACTTGATAAGACAGGTGCTTGGGCTAGTTGGTGATTGAAAATCAACATATTTGCACAGTGCAAGACTACGAGTAGTTACGGCGTAACTACTCATAGTCTTGCGCTGTGAAAATATGTTGATGGATAGATATTGGTGGATAGAAAGTCTGACCTTTATACTGTTGCACCACCTCACCGAAAACGTGAAAAGATGAGCATTTCTAAAAGTGGCCTACAGGAGACATTGGCCTAGAGTTAGTCTGGGAACAAAATATAGTTGCGAAGATTGACTTAACTATCATTTTGCACATCAAAAAGTCATCAAAAATTGACAACACCTATTAAAAGGGTTGTGAAACATTTTCCGAGAATTTTCAACTACATGTGTATTCAGAATCCTGATATGTGGGGTTTAACGTCCCAAAACCACCATATGATTATGAGAGACGCCGTAGTGGAGGACTCGGGAAATTTCATGTATTCAGAATCCTGGCCATCCATTTAACACTACACCTTGACTTGTTTCATAGTCTGGATTCAATTAATAGCTATAAAAACAAACTTTCGATTCCCCGATAACGTTCCCCTCAACTGTACTGTTGAAGTCACTTTAAAGGAACCGACAACTTCCAAGAACATGAAATGAGATGACTGCACGGATGAAGAGATTGTCCATCATAGTGACTCAAACCAGCCCCATCGTTCTAGTGAGAAAAGAAGTTATATGATCATTTATTCATTTAAAATTACAAAAAAAATGGCCTGTTGTGCTACCTGGCAGCAGGAACTTCAATTATACGATGTACTCTGTCACATGACAAAAGACTAGTGTACACAGTCAACAAGTTTCCTGTTGGTATTGAAATATTGTTTCCTTCTTTGTAGTACCTTTATAGTAAAAGATATTACTCCATAAAAATGTACATATTGGCCTGCATTGATAGTATGCATTAAAAGTAGCACTGCCTTTGCATTACATAATGATCACATGCTCGTCAGTGTGTCTTGAGCAACTTTTCTGCGTGCTCATGAAACCATGCACGCAGTTGCCAGGTCGCTAAGACTTTGAGCAACTTGGTTTTTCTACCTACACTTCGTCTCAGAAATGACATGTACTGCTACTCAGCACTGCCGTGTATATTCACAGTGACGTTTTCGGTGACTTGGCTTGGCTCGTGTGTCGAGAGAGTAACGATGATGAGACAAGCCATCCACGACACAGGCGCACGCAACGCAGTACACATACAGGAAAACTGTATAAAGCCAGATTGTCTAATTATAGCGGCTTGTTATATTGAAAAATACTTTTAAAGCTCAGAATAAAAATGGTGAAGCATAGTTACAACTCCTGCAAAGCAGAAAGACAGCATGCATAAGTCGCTAAAAGGGCTCCCAGCATCGCTATGAATTCTCAGTGTTGCTGGACAAAAAGGGACATCTGTGTTCAGAGCCTTCCAGATCTAAAAATACTGCTTATAAAGTAACTATGTGCTTTTGGGTTTAACTACAGCAGCTACAAATGCTATGAAGAATAAGCTTTCTGTCACGCCAGAAAAAACTGGGTTGAAAAAAAAAATCTGTTGTCTGTCCTTGTAAGTCAAGAAAGATCTCTGTCATCGGCAAAACATGGCAACATAGAGATGTTTCCTGAGCCATATTTGACCAAGGTTTATAGCATCATACAGTTTCGCTTGCGGCACCATAAAGCTGTCACGAACACTATTTCCACTTTCTCCAAGTTGTGCGGCACTGTGCGACGACACACATGGTAGGCATAGCGAAGACTAAGCCGCCCAAAAAACACCGTAAAACACAGCCTAATGCAACCAGTAAGAGAAGCACTGGGACAATGCGCCGAGCGAGCAAAGACATCACGTGACGAAAATTAAACGTACTTGAAAGTGAAACCAAGCAGATCACTGGCTGTACTTCCACAGTATACACAGTTCAGATTGCAAAAATTGCTGTGTTATTCTTTTCAAGGTTCCCATAAATCTATCATTTTAGAGCGAAAGAAAGCTTACGCTGTGTTTATAACTATCTTACCATGACGTTTCACTGACATCACATGTTAATGCTTATGGCAGCTGGTAGGGCCTCATGGTACAGAGCAACATAAAACTGCTATTTCAAACGGTCGTCATTAAGACTGGATATTGTGGCAAAATATTTCAAAATCCCTATGTCTAATCCTTATTGAAGTAGGGAAAATTACATTTGGGCAGCTTCATTTTCGTTTCATGACCCTTTGATAAAATCTCAACATTTATTACATTTTGCATTAGGTTATGAATTTCTCCTAAGCATGAATGCTATTACCTGTAAATGTTACTATGCCCATGTAGCTGAAACTGAAATGGCATGATAACACTTAATCACATTCGCTCAAAATTAAATTGCCTGGGCTGTGTGATACAGGTACTACAACCTTTGTCCGTGAAGTTCAGAGACTGTGTCCATTTAAAAAGAAAAGCGTGTTTTTTAACTTTGAAATCATTTGTACAGTGCTCCTCTGAAATAGTCTCCCTTAAGGACAATACACAGCTAACGCTTCTAGAGGTCTTGGAAACAGTTAGAAAATGCTTTTTTAGGCAGAGCTCTCAGCTCCTTGGTCGTGGCTACTCGAATGACCTCCACACTCCCAATCCAGTCATCTTTTATGGCTCTCTTCACACAAGGAAAAGGGATAAAATCGCATAGGGAGTGCTCAAGCAAGTGTGGTGTATAGGTGGTGCTTCAGGATCCAATGAAAAACACCATGTTTCATCTTCAGCAATGATGTAGTCAAAGAATGCAGCACTTTCCTCCGATTCAGAGAGTTAATTAGCACTCACTGATGCCTGCATGTCCTTCTGGTTTTGTGTAAGGGAGTCTTGTGTAAGGGAGTACGGCACAAGTCTGGCATTCACCTTTCCTTTCAATAAGTTCTCACACGAAATTTGATGGCATGTTACTCGCATCGAGAAACCCAATAGCATGAGGACTGTAATGATGCGATCTTGCAGTATGATTTTCCTGATCCAAGCCCCATTTTTATTCCGTGATGTTGCAGAGTGCCCCGGCCTTGTGTCATCTTCCACCAATGTTCTCTCCGAAACGAACCTCTTGCATTAGTCGAAAACTCACACCTGAAAATGTCTCATTGCCATAAGCATCACAAAAATGCTCATAGGACGGGGTGGCTGTCTTGCCAAGCTTCCCACAGAATTTTATGTTTACACATTGTTCAAGGTGGACATTGCTCCACATTCACTCACAGTAGAATGAGCAGACAATTGACAACGTACTTCTTTACACATAGTTCCATCATCTAGCGGCTTACACAGCAATGGGCCTTTTCTGGGTGGGCAGTCTGCGCATGCACGCTGGCATTGCGGAGGCACACGCCATGATTTTTGGTGGCCGAAACGTGACGACATGTGCGGATCAAGAAACGAAGTTCAGTAGGGTTGAGAGCTGGGCTAGTTGGTGAGACATCATTTAACCATATGGCGTAGTAGCGCAATTTTCATGGGGACGAAGAGGACAAGAACACACGACACTCGCTACACTCGCAACTAATTTTATTTCAGAAGCAGCATATATGAAGTGCTGCTTCTGAAATAAAATTAGTTGCGAGTGTAGCGAGTGTCGTGTGTTCTTGTCCTCTTCGTCCCCGTGAAAATTGCGCTACTACACCATATGGTTAAATGATGGATCAAGAAACATCTGGTGCCACAAAATTCAAATGTTTGCCCGATAGAGGGGCACGAACCCAAGCCTCCAAGAAGGCCTACCAGCATTCAGAGGACGATTTCAGAGTTCAAGAGCCACCAGTTTTGATTTCAGCGATCTCCACTTGGGGTGCTGTTCAGACTAGGAAAAGGCCCATTCCCATAAACAGTTCACGTTGGCTCAAAAAAATGGTGCTACATGTGCACATATGCACAAAACTTGTTTTAGGGAATCACTTTTAAAGAAAATAAATTAGCCTCGAAACTTTACAGACAAAGGTTTTACATGTTCCTCAGCCCAAATTCGATAATTTACTAACAACAGGTTACAAAATAAAAGTATGTCTCACCTCAAAAACGTCTGGATTGGATGCATAAAATTCTTTCCACTGCTGCACGGAGTAGTGTTTATGAATAGCTGTGAACATTGAATTCTGCAATGAAATTCCATTCAACATAATGTGAAACTTTTTTTATATACAAGGATCAGTAAGCACACCAGTTGTCATTGTGAAAATTTAAAGCCAACAACATACAGTGCATGACATGTTTATGGGTCAACTCACAATTAGAGTTGAGCACATGGTTTCTTTCCTCAAATGCAATTAATTGCTCTCACTGCTTTGTGGACTGTAAATCTAATAAACAGTGATGTGAAATTTCCACACCTTATATGTGTGCAAGGCAACTGGAGAACAGAATAGCTGCAAAGATTTCATATCTTGACTGTATCTGCCTTTCAGTCGCCAAAACACGACAGAACACTGAAATCGTGGCAGTCGCCAGTTTTCACACGTGTGCATGCAAGTGCGTGCAGCACAACGAACGGTCCCAGAAAAGTTCAATTCATGTCAGTAGCCCTTACAAGAAGTACAGCCCAACCTAATGTAGTATTTCAAGCTGCCACTTTCTAGCTTGTTCAACGATACTGTTTATCGTGCTTAGTGCTACCATTTCAATCACTCAGTATATAAGCTATAAGACATGATTTAACTACTCTGTTTGACACGAATATAGTCCAGTTTTTACTGGAACAATATATGCAGAAGTTAACATAACTAAACAGTTATGTTCAATAGAGAGTTAGTGCTACAAAAATGCAAATGCTGAGCCTATCCCTCGAAGCACTAAACATCAACAGCAGCACCGTTCAAGTTGCCACAATAAATCATAAAAGCATCTTCACAGTATGTTCTTATTTCATCTTGTGGCCTACTAGCTTGACCTGGCAAATGGCCATGACCATATATGCCATGTATGCTTTGTAAGCTACAAAAGAGTGTGTGTGTGTGTGTGTGTGTGTGTGTGTGTGTGTGTGTGTGTGTGTGTGTGTGTGTGTGTGTGTGTGTGTGTGTGTGTGTGTGTGTGTGTGTGTGTGTGTGTGTGTGTGTGTGTGTGTGTGTGTGTGTGTGTGTGTGTGTGTGTGTGTGTGTGTGTGTGTGTGTGTGTGTGTGTGTGTGTGTGTGTGGGTGTGTGTGTGTGTGTGTGTGTGTGTGTGTGTGTGTGTGTGTGGTGTGTGTGTGTGTGTGTGTGTGTGTGTGTGTGTGTGTGTGTGTGGTGTGTGTGTGTGTGTGTGTGTGTGTGTGTGTGTGTGTGTGTGGTGTGTGTGTGTGTGTGTGTGTGTGTGTGTGTGTGTGTGTGGTGTGTGTGGTGTGTGTGTGTGTGTGTGTGTGTGTGTGTGTGTGTGTGTGTGTGTTGATCGCGTAAAAACTCTTTCCAATAATTTCGTCCTTCATACCGTCATGTATTTGCTTTGCAACTATGGTAATCATTGCTTTGGAGTCACTGTGGCATAAAGCAAGTGAAGGTGCTTGGACAGGAGCCACGGTCTTGCTGAAAGTCAAATAAATACAAGAGAGGGGACGTGCAAACGTTACACTCATTTGAGTGCAGCAATTCACACGAAATCTTGCGCTATTGTTCATCTGTCAACGGGTTACCGGTCCTTCGAACAAAATTCATTCCGTTATAGCAACTTCCTGTCACTGTAGCGCCTGGTCACATGTTGCTGCATGCCGACGCTCTTTCCTTGCACCTTATTTTTCAGTACTATGTGCATGCTAGTCAAGTCAAAAGGCATTCACAACTTCTCATAACACCGCAAGCATGATATTGACGTCATTAGAAACTGAGGCACAAACATTGGTTGGTCCAATCCACCCATTCCCGATACGGCAGTGCATGCTCCCTTCCCTAGTGGAAAGCTTGCGAGGTGCTTTTTTATATCAGAGGCATTTATCCTTGCGACAGCAGTTTTCGTTGCCCATATCAAATTCCTGTCAGAAAAGGCAAAGGGCAGCACAGGAAAATGAAGGTGGCTTCCACCGTCATACTCCGGAGCCACGGAACACCACCGGCGCGCTGTGCAAAGCCGAAGCGGAATCTAGCAATACAAAGCTTTATTGAAGAAGACAGTCCATATTTCCATGGTATTGGCGAATTTCCTTCCATTTTTCTCAATTAAAACGACTCTTTGCTCTCTTATCCTCACTCTAAAGTATAACCCCCCCACCACTTCCGCGCCCCGCCGATCCGATGAGCCCCGCGCCGCTGCCGAAAGTTAAAGCACCGAACCGCTGCCGCTGGCAATTTTGGTACCAGCGCACAGATCTACTCCCACCTTCTCCGCTGCCCTGGCTCTTGTGGGGCTGCATTTAATGACTGCGGCCCTTTGGCTGAGGAGAGTTGGAGACCTCTAAATTATCTTCAACAGATTTTAAGTAATTGAAATTAGTTGAAGTCAGTATTCTGCCCTGTGTCATCTTTATATCTTGTTACACTTGTACTGTTATGCCCAGGAGCTTGTGCATCACCAATTAGCCTGTCAGTAAATGTTACTAATGCTTCTTTAAAGCTTTTCCACCTAGACTGGCAAGGGGCACAGGCATGTAGTTTATTTATTGATTTACTTTTTTCCTGTTAATTTTAGTGGATCAGTGGCTAGCAGTGGGGTTTTCCCAACTTCCATGTGACAAACTGGGTTTTTCCAGACGGCGGAAAGCTAAATTTTTTTTTTCAATCCCAACTTTGACACATCGACTTGGCAGTTTTCAAAATGTGCCCCTTGTGGCATAGTCCGAAGTTGTGTGGACCTCATTTCAGCAAAACAACACTACCTGCAGTTATGCCTCTTGTGAGCCTTCAAAGCGGTGTTATCTTTTCCTGTAGAGCTTACTTTACCCCATGTATAAACCACTTTTTTTGTCCATATGGCTGTCCTTCGTTTCGCTGTCGAAATTCTCGAGTACGGATGTTGTTCCTGAACATGTGCCTACTTTTCAAGAGGTATATGATACCAAGAAAAAATATATTGCCAAGCATCAATATCCACCCCTGTGCTGAGGGATGAGTGGAACAATTTCATGATGGATTGTTCTGATGCATGTATCGGTCAAGTTAGTAATAATTAACTTTTTGTTGGACTAGTAGGTACATGCTTACTGAAACACAAAAAGACGCGTAGCATCAAGGAAGAAAAACGAAGGACAAGAAAAAACAAAAAAAGAATATGCCCTTTCTGCTCCGCCCTTTTTTCTTGTATTTTGTGAAATTATTATGCAAATTCAGAAACATATGTAATAACTGGAAGCTTATTGATTGATCGATATGTGGGGTTTAACGTCCCAAAACCACCATATGATTATTAGAGACGCTTAGTGGAGGGCTCCGGAAATTTCGACCACCTGGGGTTCTTTAACGTGCACACAAATCTGAGCACGTGGGCCTACAACATTTCCGCCTCCATCAGAAATGCAGCCGCCGCAGCCGGGATTCGAACCCGCGACCTGCGGGTCAGCAGCCGAGTACCTTAGCCACTAGACCACCGCGGCGGGGCTAATAACTAACTGGAAACTAACATCACCTCTCCCAAAAACAAGAAAACAAAAAATTCAAAAGCTATCGTAAAGAAAATGATCGAAATTCACATTATTGTAACATATCCCCCCTTGGAAAGCGGGGTAAAAGAATTTCCCTTAAGATTACAAAGACTAGGGTAATATATGAGCAACTTAATGTGCTAATTGCAATGGGTGATGTAGTTCAGCAAACTGAAAAATGAGACACATGTATCTAGCTGTCGCACAAAGGGTTAGCCTCTCTATAGCCTGTCTGTTTTCTGAAAGGGCACACGTAATTTTCACCTCTCGCTTTTGAACGCGATGCATTCTTTGGTATCTGCGGAAACGTGCTTCTGCTTCGGAAGCAGTCTGTGAGCGTAATTTTCACCAGTCGCAATCTTTGTGACAGTGATACCTAGCCAACGAAATGCCCTTTGAGACACCCTGCGTGATAGCCTTGATCTTGATATCAAAGTAGAAACGTAATGGTCATACTGCAGATAAGCACTTCGCCTGAGAACGATGGACAATAGGCTGTGCTGCAGTAGAGAACATTGAAAGGCCAGTGATCAACAATAAGACTCGTTTCTGGTATAGCACTGTGCTCAATGGCATGGAATTTCCTAAAATTAAGTAAAGGGGACTCTCAGGCTGGGATCATTCAGCGATTATAGGTAGTACATAGATTTGCCTAGTCTTTGTGCTTGCGGACCTCAAACGCACTTGTGGCTTTGTTTATTGCTGAGTATTGTTTCAAATAAAAGAGTGGACTGTTTAAACTCTGTGACCTGATCGGAATTGGTTAGCCTAAAAGGTTAAAGTGGTGAAATGCAACTGCACAACATTTGCTGATTGTCGTTTCGTGACAATTCAGCTCCAAGCCATGCAACGCCAAACAGAAGCGAAAGTACAAAGATTAGACAAATCAATGTACTACTCGTCATTCCCATGCTCTCTGAAGCACTGCGTGTTGCACCTCCTATAGACACTAGCACCAGAGTGCCCTCTAGTGTATATATAGAAAACCCTATGGTGGAAGGCATAGGTCGGTGAACTCACTCATGAATCAACCCATTCGGACTTGCTGAGACTCGGATAAATCCACGAGTCGAAGTCTGAGTCAGGGTGTGTAATATTTGGTGAGAGTAAGAGTGAGCGCTGCTCAGGAAGAGTGAGTTCAAAGCACAAGATGTATTTCCTGAATGAGTCTGAGTGAGTTCCACTCTTGTTTGCCGACCTATGGTTCTCGACTCGACGGTAAACGGTTTACCGCTAGGTGGAGGGGGCCGGCAGTTTGGCAAGCACTCGCGTGGTCCGTGAACTCTTGTGGTTGACTGAACCGAAGTTTAACTTTCGTTATGCGGGAAACTTGCAACGTTTTTTTTTTTTTTTTTTTTTTTTAACGTTGACCACCAATTAAGCGACAGCTACAACCTCAGCAAGCAGAAAATGATAGCGCGCGCGACACTACTTAGAAATCGTTTAATACAAGTATACAGACCTTGGCCAGCACCTGTGCCATTTCAAATGTCCCCACAGTGTCCATGTTTGCGGCGATAATGGGTATCCCAGTGTAAGTCGCTTTTGAATTTCTGAACTTGAATGTGCGATTGAGATCGACCTAAGAGAACAGAAAAAGAAGGGTAAAATAAAAGCAGCTAGCATGAAACAAGTTTCTCAAAAAAAGGCGCTCGGCGATGATACACGAACGGACAGTGCGTGCCACGAAAAGCTCACCTCCACCCTGCTCTTGAGCGTGCTGCGCTTCGGTCGCAGCAGGACGTCTTTGAAATCAAGCTTCACATCGTTGTCAATGTGCGGCATATTGAACGCCAGGCGTAGCTTTTAAGCAATTCAACTCAACACCTCTTTTAATTACGACTGCACTTTCGCTTTCGTTCAAAAACCTGAGGATAGGCACGAAACCAACACGTGCTGACGGCAACGCACGCTCAATGGCGCCAAAACGCATACATGCAACCCTACACCGGCGCTGCCGGCGCCACACAGAAAACCGAAAAGAAACTAGGGTGGCCAGCTGTGCCAGATAACATGCCATTACAGTCACTAAATCAACGTTACTGCTAAAGTTCCCAGCAGTGATTAATTATTACAAATGTGTTCCTTCGCCTGTGCTACGCCTCCTATCACGCTGTCTATTCATATATAAGTGCGCACACGTAAGTTTATTATTGCTTCCTTTATCCACAACGCTAGCAGACGATATTAGCGGCCATTACATTCTTCCGCCTTGTACTGTACGTGACATTCATTTGATTTTAATGTCCGTTCTCCGCTGAATATCTAAAGCGCAGTAGAATGTAGTTTTGTTCGCTAGTTACTGGGGCAGCGGCGTCTGTTCGGCGAATGCCCCTTAACTTATTCATTTCGATATACTTGTACTATTGTCCATCACCATGCCAAGAGTAGAAAGCGTTCGCCTTCAAGTGTTTCAAGAGGCGAGTAACATGCTGCTGAAAATGTGCGCTACATTCTTTGATGAGTGTAGCTAGCAGACAACAAATAAACAGGCGGCATATTTTTAGATAGTGCTGCTGTAAGCATCATGGATAGAATACAACAATGCATCGGCAGACAGTGAAGTTTCGAGAAGAGGACGTTATTCTTGCGTGACCATGCATCAGAAAGGTGCCCGTATCTTCTAAGAAGATAAAAAAATTTTGGTCACAGATGGTGCATACGTGTGCGGGCAGGTTTTCTTTGTGCGTTGCACATCCAGGAACTCGTTCTGTTCTGGCAGTTACGGCTGCTACGGTGTTAATTGTGATTAACGGGGGCTAGAATTGGTCATTCCAGCCACCCTAGTTCTGATCCATAGTCTCGTTCACTATATCCACAGTGCCGTTGTATAGTACAGTGTATTCTAGTACTTACACTACCACCACAGGGACCATAACCATACACAGAGTTTCCACATCAGTTTCCATGTTGCGACTGATCAGTGATCACATCATGCAGTCAACCCGAAGGATTTGTCCCTAGATTTAGATACTTTCTATTTTTTGTTTAATCTAGAGATTTTTATGAGACTCTGGAAATGTCACGTTACTTGGCTTGATTGAAGGCATTGCTTAGTATTCACGCTCTTTCAACTTGAAAGGCTGCAAAAAACGATAACTTCATTCATGAATTTCTATTTGAAGGTATTGGTGTCCTATTGTGCAGAGTGAGGGATAACAGTTCAGTGCTGAATACAGGGTAAAATGATCGCTCTGTCGATCTACCTATGAGTTAAGCATGCATCTAGGGCATATATTGAGCGCCTTGATTTATAGCTACTCCGTGAAACAATGATAAATTTTGTCTTGAAGTGGTTATAAACCCGTGCCAAGCATATATAGGTCTTCATGGCAAATTAAGACCTTATAACCGGGATCGAGGCTTAGATCATAGAGTTTCATATTGTATCATACTCTATGGCTTAGATATACAAGCAAAGCAAAAGTAAAACGGTAGATTAGGTAAAGTGTTACGGGTTCAATATTGCGGAAACCGCGTGATGAACAGAGACAAGACGAGCTGTTCGGGTGTTCTCAGTTTTTCCGTCGTGCCCTTTACATGGGCGTGATAACAGAATAAATTTTTTTTGCCATTCGGGGAGCTGAACGGAAGTACGTACAGAGGAAAAGCGTAGCTATCAGTCAGTCAAAGAAGGCCCACGTACATCTACTAAAATAATGTGACAGTAATTGTAAATGTGGAAAATTAAAAATCGGCCGCAAGCAATTAAGTACAAGAAAGGCGCTCCTGCAGTTGACCCGAAGAGTTGGGTCTAGAACACCTACTCACATCAGTGAGATTGTGTCTTCAACATAGAGTTAATATACTTTTCAATAAGCAGCTACTGTTGCTATCTGCAAATAAGCGCTTTATGTGCAACTTCAAGAACATGTATAAAGAAAAGACCGAAAAGGGGGGCTAAAATGGTGCTTCATAATTTAACAAATTCAAAACAACTCAGCCACAGAGTGCAATATCTTAATACTTAGTTAAAAGTCAATAGGAGTCTATAATGACGTTATAAAAATAATATAAAAATTTTCTTGCAATTTAGAGAATTTTGAAGGGTCAATCTAGGGATAAATTGTTGTTCCAATCTAGGGATAAATTGTTGTTATAGGTTGGCATCATTGCATGGGTGTCTTTCCCGCGCGTTTTGGAGCGGTGTCGGCAGTGTTTCAAGCATGCCGGCCACATATGTGAGTTCAGTGGGTGCTCGTATTACTCTGTAAATCAATAGCCGCGTATGCGTGCACCCTAAAATTTGTTTAGCCGGTTATTTAACTTGTATATCTCCGCAACGCTCCGGAACTGTTACGTTGACGAACATGGCAGCTCGAAAATTTGAGCCCTCAACAACCAGCAGCATCTCGAGCACATCGGTCCCGTCGCGTTCAAGCAAAGAAGTGTGGAAAACTCTTGCAAAGTGGACGATGTCAAGATCCTCATCAGAGTCGTCTCTCAGCTCTAATATATTGAAAGAAAGTCATGAGGAAGATGACTCGCGTAACGACTCGCAGATGCATCTACCACGTTCACAAGCAAGGTCAGTGCACGTGTGCTTGTTGGGCAAAAACTGCATTTGTGCACTGGGGTAGTAGATTAGTATAGACCTCAAATGCTAGTATGATGGTAGTGCTGCTTTCGTCTGTTGTCGGGACAGTGTGCACTTTTGGGATCGTTGCTTACGCGCCGGTCTGTATGTTTCAAGGTGGGCAATGGTTGCGGCGGCCGCTTTCCTCCAAGAACGGCAACCGTAGTTCTTTTTTGCTGAGTTGAGAAATGCGCTGTGCTAGCTTATGTTTACTTGTGTTTCTTTTTTTTCTCTTGTGATGAACCGGCCTGCAGCGACTCTTGTTAACGCAAACATTCTACAAAACTGCGTCCTCTATTCGCCTCAAGGCATTTGGGAAAGACTAAGCCCCGAGTCCTTCTTTTCCTTAAAACCGAATATCGAGCTCAACTCGTAAAGGAAAAAGAGAACATAGGAAACGCAGCACCTAGCGCTGACAAGTATACCGTCCTAAAGTCACTGCGACTATCAGTTCCGTGCCTTGGACACCACACGAAAATAGTAACTACACCCCACTGCATATACATGCGCGCACACTGGCACGCACGCACACATGCATTTCAGGCGATTAGAATGCAAGCGCCCATCAGTTTGCCATTAATTGTCAGCTAGGAAAGTGCATCACCAGCCAAGGCTGCCCATCCATGCGTGAACATGGCGATGAGAAGCAACAGTAGTGTGTTATTCAGTGGTTCCGGTAGGATTGAAGTTGCATTGACATGCATTTTAAAAGGAGTTGCTCGCCACTTGGCACGAACTTGCACGCTAGGAGTCAGTATGCAGTCTAAAAGAATAATTGCTGTGCGTAATGGAACATTTCGGCATAAGGAAGTTTTCGAATAGTGTATGTTTGCGTTGTGCATGCATTGTACGCTCACCTCTTGTGGGCTTCCCATTGAGTGACAAACACCAACGTTACGTCGGCAAGCTTTGCGTATGCTATTCGAAAACTCCATTTAATTGGCAAACGACGTGGGCTACGGTATAAGAGTGAAAGTGAGCTATTGATTTTTTAATGCTGTGCGTATGCCAAGCCATATCTATTTTCATTCTCAACACAGGTGACGCTGAAAATGCATGTCTAATATTCCGCACTGGCTACCCCCGCTCACCATACCGACGTGTAAAAATATCACGTGGGAGAGCAGAAAGCACAGACATGCATACTGCCCCTAAATGGCCGTTGTCAGCCTGCCATTTTCCCATTTTTTTTTTGTGGCCTTGTAAATTTGTGCATACATTTAAAATAAATAATAAAAGGCAAAAAAAGCACGAGGGAGTGAGAACACATGAATGTAATTTGAGGCGTTGCCTACATGCTGTACAGCTGCGGTTGAGAGTTGTCACCAGGCACAATTTTTCAGGTAGTTGCTTCCAAATGGTGTGTCTGTAGCCGCTATGCCTGCCATGCCTTCATATGTACGAAAAAGCACCGGACACCTACTACGTTTTCACGTCCTTTCGGTGGTGAGCCATGCATTTCTGCTGTGAATGATTACCCGACAACAACAAACAACAATTCTAACATTTTTGCTGTGGGTGCCTGGTGGTGCTGCCTGTGTGGTTCGAGTTGCAGTACATGATGCCCATATGCTCTGTAATAAGGTCAAGACACTCGCTTATAAGGTGTATCAGCAGGGAAGGAGGGTGGCTAGTTCTCCTTTCCTGCTGGTAGCCTGGTGTTTGGAAGCTACCTTGGCTGTCAGAAACTCCTTGGGAGGAGGCTAACTATCACGTGAATGTAGCCATGCTTCCGGACCTGGATGGGACAGCACAAGAAGCGGGTACATAAGGCTGGAAGGAACACATGACAGCGCTGATTCGCAGCTAACTTTATTAAAAGTACAAGCACATTGTCTCACATCGATGACATCTTTAGTGCACTTACACAAAGTAAAAAAATGACATGTTTATTCTTTTACTGTGATATGAAATGATTATAAACTGAAATTTTGATGTGGTAGACCTCATTAATCTCCCCGGTAACCTTTGCCATATGTGGATATAATATATTGCCTAAGATTGGGATTACCTTTTGTTCTGAACAGTGCCTAGAGAGTACGAATTTTCTCCTTGTAGGCTTTCTGTTTGTAGGTGCACTAAAAATTGCATCATAAATGTGTGAACACATGGATGTGGGTGATCAGCTAAACATGTGTGTGTTCTTTTCGATTGAAGTTGGTTGCAAGTCAGCTCTGTGTGTGTTAAGCTTGCTATGAACTACATAGTTTGCATTGTTGTCATTGTGGCTGCCATCTTAGGCCCCCCAGGTGGTTGAAATGCTGCGTAAGCTCAAGTGGTGACATCAGATTAGTGCTAGTGCCCGCTGCGTTCCTTTATGTTCCCCTTGGCGGAGCTCACAAACAGAAGAAAGTGGGGAGAGCACAGAATAATGCAGAGACCGAACGACTCCATGCTTTCCTCGACACTGACTCTAATGAGATAAAAGTCACGGTTGCCACCATGTTAAGGCCCGCAGCACAGAGAACCTGTCTGTGATGTCACGCGAAAACTATGTATATTAACCCAAGCACTTTATTTTGCCACTCACAGAAGATAATCCTTCCCGCGTTGTCCTCATTTTTGGCACTGCTCATCAAGCACTTATAATAAAAACATACGAGCAAGTACCCGAAGGTAACCGAAGTGGCGCTGTGTTGTATGGAGTTCCTGTAGTACACAATTCTCCTGCTAAATTAAAATAAGCATCATGCCACATCTCGCGAGTTCATTGAATCCAGTGGTTTTTCCCAGGAAGCTTATCTCGGGGTATGATGATCTTCACTGTCTTTTTTTATTTGTGTGCATGCATGTGTAAGCACGTGTGTGTGTTGAAAAAGCAGTGTTGCATGCTCAGCATTTGTTTTTTGTAACAGCTGCTTTAAGTGAACTGTGAAAAAAAAAAGGATGTCTTCCTTTTTTCTGCATTTTCCCCCCCTCCCATGTTGGTAAGAATAGCACTATGACTAGTCATAAGCAACAACCTTGAAGTGAATGTCTGGGTAGCTTTGGAACTGTTCTTTCGAAGCCTGGCCTTTGTTTGCTCGACCAGTTCCTTGTTTGTTTGTTGAAAGTCGAGGAAGAAACTTCACAATTGCCCTTCTGATTCCCAAATCTGTTGAAATTTGCTGAACCAGCTCTAAGCTATACCAAATAACTTATGCAATCCAATTATTTAGTGGTCTGTAGCCTGTCTTCACCCACAAAGTCCAAAATGTTTTCACATTTTTGTCCACGCGTGAAGTTACAAATGTCAAAGACAAGCTTTTTCAGATAGGGATATTTCCCCCTTTTCAAAAAGAAAAAATCACTCATACCTTTGTTTTTCTCATTGCATCATCCTTGTAAACAGTGTTTCACAATAGTTACGCAGTAATTTTACTGGAGCATGGAACAAACTTTCACAGTTTAGAGTGTTTACATTAATTGGCCATCAAAGAAAAGAAAAAAAAAAACCCACGCACACAAAACTGCTATTATGAAAAAAAATCACTGTAGCACAAGAATAGCTTTCTTGGAGGATCCACCGAATGTAGTGAACTGGAGAAGCGTAGCACAATGCTCGTCTTGCAAGAAAATGGTGTATTATAGTAGCTCTGTCCAGCACAGTGCCAGTTCAGTTACTTTTAAGTACCCCCTCGTACACATTCACCATCATGAAATGAATATGTAGTGGTGCGAGAATGGTGAAATTTAAGACTGAATCAAACATAATGTTGTTCAAATAGTAAGGCAGCCATTTTCTGGACAAGCCTAGCATTACATAAATTTTTATTTCAAACATATATTCAAAAGCATTAACGCATTAACATTATTTTACATTTTAGCTGAAAGAAGATGTAAACTGAGGTGAACTCTTATAGAATTGCTGGAGGCGAAAATGTTGTAGGCCCGTGTGCTCAAATTTGGGTGCACGTTAAAGAACTCCAGGTGGTCTAAACTTCTGGAACCCTCCACTACGGCGCCTCTCATAATCATATGGTAGTTTTGGGACGCTAAACACCACACATCAATCAATCGTATACAATGGTGACTAGAGCCTTCTAGGTATTCTTAATCTGTAGGATGACTGCAGTAGTTACTTCATTATTTGAGGTGGTATTTTGGCATCTCATTTTGAATAACGTTAAGACTTGTGATTGATATGATTGATATGTGGGGTTTAACGTCCCAAAACCACTATATGATTATGAGAGACGCCGTAGTGGAGGGCTCCGGAAATTTAGACCACCTGGGGTTCTTTAACGTGCACCCAAATCTGAGCACACGGGCCTACAACATTTCCGCCTCCATCGGAAATGCAGCCGCCGCAGCCGGGATTCGAACCCGTGCCCTGCGGGTCAGCAGCCGAGTACCTTAGCCACTAGACCACCGCGGCTGGGCATCGTTAAGACTTGTCTATAGGATAAACAATGCTCCATGAATGAAGATAAGGAATCTCAGGATAATTACAGTGGATTGAGGACCCATTCACTTTGGCGTTTAATGGAAAAATTCCTTCATCCGGTGATGATTGAAAATTCGATAATCCCACAAAAGCTTACACTGTATGCATCTTGGCAATTCCATAATTAAAGGGACACTAAAGGCAAATAATAATTGACATCAGAGTGAAAGGCCGATGTTTGGGAATGTCTGGAACGATAATATTATCAACAGAAGTTTGACACATGTGCTACAAGTGGGGCAATTTGAAAGTGATACTAACGACGTCAAAGCATCTGACTACAATTAATCACTGATAATCAAACCAGCTACAGTAAACAAAGAACCTTCCACGCATTACAACTCGTGATAAAATGCTGCTTGTCCATTTCTGTTTTATTCATCGAAAAAAGAACCTCCTGGCATTACTATGGGGAACGGTGCAAGTGGTTCAAAAGTTCCGTTTTTGCCTGGCTATATTGGATAGATGGTGTCGTCTAGCGGGGTCTAGTTGAACCAAGCAAGCAGCAAAATTGTTCAATGATCGTTGTTGGTGCTGTGGCTCCCGTTACTTTTGCTCTGCTGCTACTAGTGTCAGTGGCCGCGCAGTAAAGGTGAGTGACGTTGTGAAAGGCAACACTATGGTGTGGGAGCAGCCTAGTTGGTATTTCATGTTTTTACAGCTGAAGCACAAAAAGGTTTGCAACGGACGAAGGGGGCAACGAGGACAAGTGCTAACTTCGAACTAAAATTTTATTGATAAGCACCAAGAACACATACCTGTCACATGACATCACAATAATTTCAATCAATGCACAAAGGTGATCAAATAAAACTAAGCAGCAGCAAATTATACTTATAGAAACCACATGCCAGTAAATTCAAGTAATTTAGTTCTTTTTTGTTTGTGCGATAGATTTGAAGAATATTGGTCAGAGGGTTGGGATTTCGGTGGTATTTTCTGCGTGGAATAAGTTGTTGCAGCTATGTGCAAGAACTAGTTCTGTAAGAAAGCTTCCTAATGAGTGTAAAATTAAGCACCGAAACAAATCTGTTCAATGTATGAAGAATTCAGTATATGAGGTACCTTTGACCTGAGGTCAAAGTTATGTCGGACAGTCAGGCAGACGTCTCAATGTGCGATTACTTAAACACAACCAGAAAGTAAAAAAAGGGCTCTGATGGTTTCCTGGTGACTCATTGTGCAGGCTGTGAATCCAAGCCGGTATTCGACAAAACAACTGTGTTGGTGTTGACTACCCACTCTAACGATAGTGTGAGGCTCATCATTCAGGCGGTGGCGATAGCAAATTGAAGCTGCGTCAGCAAGCCATTCATTGCACTAACAAAAAAGAATTAAGTTACTTGAATTTACTGGCATGTGGTTTTTCTATGTCAAGTTCACTGCTGCTTAGTTTTATTTTTTCTTCATCCTTGTGCATTGATTGAAATTATTGTGATCTCATGTGACAGGTGCTCAGCAATAAAATTTTAGTTGGAAGTTAGCGCTTGTCCTCGTTGTCCCCTTCGTTTGTTCTATACCTTTTTGCGCTTTAGCTGTAAAAAAGCAGCAGCTATGTCGGGAGGTCCGCCTTCAGGCAGGTGATTTGAAGTGCGCTAATGGTGCCCGAACCACTACAACGTGATTTTATTTCCAAATAAGCATTTTTTGGCACACACACACACACAAAAATACGAGGTTTCGAAACTGCTATTTCAGCAATCACTGTCAACTTAATATTTCTCTTTAGTGTCCCTCTAAAACAAGAAAAATTATCCTTTGCTCTTCTAATGCGTTGTTCCTGTTAAGTTGAGTTCTCGTTACTTCAGATTACTTGAGAAGTATTCGAAAATATTCGACGCATAAGATATGCACAATTCAATTTGAATACTGAATTGAATGGAAAGATATTTTATTCCTGATTAAAGACTTTTTAGTACTTGCTTACCCCTGTGAATATGGGATGCTAACAACGCAATGACAGCACTTTTGACTTCCATATCAGCATCATTCCATCAAGTCTGTGCACTTCATATTTCATATGGGTTTGCTAACATGGGACATAAGTTAACCGGTAGTCTAAAGCAGTAATTCATTCTGTAGCTAAGTCCCACCATGGTGGTTTAGTGGTTGAGGCACTCGGCTGTCAATCCGCAAATTGTGGAATTCAATCCCCGCTGCGGCAGCCACTTTTTATATGGAGGTATAAATTCTTAAGGCCCGTGTGCTTAGATTTAGCTCCGCGTTAAAGAACCCCAGGTGGTCGAAAATTCCAGAGCCTTCCACTACGGCGTATAGTCTCTCATAATCATATGATGGTTTTGACACGTTAAATGCCAATAATTAATATTATCAATCTCCAGCTTAATATAAACAACTTATCACTTAGACATTCAATGGCCCCGTAAAAAAGATAAATATGTTTTTATTTTATGAATGTTGAACTGAAAAAAAAAATGTATTGCTCTTCATAATTCCCTACCATGTCGATTGCCAGAGAGCATACGAGTAAGAGAGTGCTATGCTTATTTGTTCCAACACCAGTGCTATAGCTTTATCATCAAATGCTGACCATGTAATATAAATTCTTGACATGAAACACCTGTGTGGTTGATTCGACACTATGCTCTTTGTCATAGGTTGGGAAGGGGAGGACAATCCCCTCACTCCCAATATTTCAGTTTTCGAATGTGTACCGCCTGTAAGCGAATCAGTGAAAAGTGGCTAAGCATGCAATTCATACTATTGCAGTCAAAATTAAAAGCTTCTTTCTCCGACGTTTTCTGTAGCCTACTGTTCATTTGGCTTCTCATCATCTGTCAAGTATTTTAAATTAATAAGGGTGCATTATGAAAATACAAAATATTTTAGCTGCCTTCAGCTGAAACAGTTTGGAGTGGCGTTTCATCTGCGATGTAATGCACTAAATAAATGTTACGGTGTTGCAGTTTTATATTTCTGTTTGTGACATCGTATAAGGTTGGAACAGCCCAACCAAATAAAAAAAAAACAGTATATTTTATTAGCTACATGATTTTAAGACTTGAAATTTGTGTGCAAATAATGGAGAGAGTTGGGTTAATCTAAGCTGGCGCACCTGCTGTGGCACATTGACTTGCACAAAAAATTTAATGAAAAAAACTTAATAGCAGAACATCTTTTTTTCATTATGTTCATGCTAGTAAACATGTCAGAGCATTTAAGATTGGAAAATGTTGGCCAAAAGAGCAAAGCCTGCCATTCTTTTCGCCATTATCTGTAGCGTTTGTTTGGTCGTGCAGGGGCCCCCAACGTTCATCGAGAGGCAACACAACATCCAGGTTACAGAGTGGAAATGTGGAAAGAAAACGAATATTGAAAGAAGCCAGCTCATCTCCAGAAATGTCGCCAAGAAAAATGTCCCGATCAGAGTCCGAAAAAATATCAAGCTTCACGGAATCGCAAGAGAGTGCTTTACCGGCTGGTCGAGCAGTTGCGATGCGTCGCATTTCATTTTGGAGTTCTCCTCGGCGTAAAGAGGCTGCTTCAGACTCCCCAAGTCCAAGTTTGGTTCAGAGTGGGAGGAAAAGTGCACCAGAACAAGAATCTGCTGATGGTTTCACCAGAGCAGTGCAGCGACAGAGTGATTCACACTTACATCTTTCTACTAGCGATAAACAGAAGTCGGTAAGTAAAAGCACCAGTTGAAGTTGATTAGGATTGGAAGCGTTCCAACCTTGGGGAAAAAGAAATGCTTCCAACTATGCATGCTATTCCCATGGGGAAGAGTGTTGCAATAGCTAAAAACAGTGCTGTATTTTATCAGCTCTATTTTATTCCACATGGTTTCTATGCAAAAGCTACAATCTTTAGCTTTGTTAACTTAATGATGACTGCTGCAGATGCTGCCAATTTAGAACAGCATATTCTGTGATCCATTGCCCATCATGTTACAAAATATAATGGGAATCAATATTGCCGCTTGTTGCTAGGCACCTACCAAAGTCTTGCCCCGCTTCCTGCTCTTATGAATTCTGCCACACCAACTGACAAGCCAAACGCGCCAAGCTAAACGCGCCAAGCCAAACGCGCCATGCAACGCTGGCTGCAGGTGTCTCCACATCACGCGCTGGACAAGGAACGCTGGTGGTTTTTCGAGGAGCAGCTCGAGGCGAGACGCAGGAGAAGTTGACGAGGTTTTGACCAGTGAGCTCACAACCTTTGTGTATTTAGTTGACGGGCACAAGTTCGCCATTAATAAATAGCTGTTTTAGCTTCCGGCACTGTATTTGTTCGTTACAAACTGGTGGAGGTGCGGGGTAATGATTCCAAGCCCATCTCAGCATAGGGAACATAGCCCAGAACCCCGAAGGTTGGAGCCAGCGCTGTTGACTCCCGTACACCAACGAACGAGTCGTGGCCTACGAGGTGAGCAGCCCGAGTTTGGTGCCCCCTTCGATTCTTTGAGACCAGTGGAGGACGTAAGTTCCGGAGCCCCTGCAATGGCCACCCAAGCGAGTTCATTTCCATCGCATATCGTCATGGACCCACCCCACATACCAGAGGTATTTCATGGTGATATTTTCGAGGATTCCGAGGACTAGCTCGATGGTTTCGAACGCGTTGCCAGACTGAACGGTTGGAACGAAGACAGGAAACTTCGCTACGTCTACGTGGCACTGCAAGATTCTGCACGTACGTGGTTCGAAAACCACGAAGCGTCCTTATTATCGTGAGACGACTTTCGAAGAGAGTTTCTTGCTACGTACCCAAACACGGACCGCAAAGAAAAGGCAGAGGCCGCTCTTCAGACGCGAAACCAACAGAACAACGAGAGCGTCGCCATGTACATTGAAGACATGTCTCGACTGTCCCGCCAAGCCGACCCGAACATGGCTGAGGAAAAGAAGTTGCGGCACCTGATGCGTGGAGTGAAGGAGGAGCTTTTTGCAGGCCTGGTGCGTAATCCACCGCGCTCTCTTGCTGAGTTCAGATCAGAGGCAACCATGATAGAAAAGACCCTGCAGCAGCGCGCGCGCCAATACAATCGGGACGTAAGCGTCTCATCTGTTAGCGCGGCGTCGACAACCCTCACGAGTAACATTGATCTCTTGCGTGAAATGGTGAGGGCTGTCATAAGGGAAGAACTCCAGAAAATACAAATGACTCAAGCTCATCCAGCGATGTCCTCGCTTGCCGACGTTGTGCGCGAAGAAGTGCGGCAAGCGGTTCTACAACCACAACCTCAGGTTCTACAGCGCGCACAACCGGAGCCTCCGCCTCAGTTGTCGTACGCGCAAGCTGTACGACAGGACCTCGGACGCATGAATCGGACGGCTGCGACTGCTGTGATGCCTCCGACGTTTTCTCCGAGTACGCCGCTACCAATGCCGGAAGCAAGACCATGTAAGAGCGATGTATGGCGCACTGTAGACCGGCGGCCCCTTTGCTACCACTGCGGAGAAGCAGGTCACCTTTACCGAGCGTGCCAGCATCGTCGAGCGGGACTGCGTGGTTTTCCAGTCAATGCACCATGCCCACGGAACGGTGAACGGCCCTACGAAATCGAAGAATACTTGTCTTCACGCTATTCCCCTCAAGACACGCAACAACGGGAGTCGCGTTCGACAGCACCGATGCGCTATCGGTTGCCGAGTCCTCGTCCGTCGTCAAATCTCCGAAGATCACGTTCACCTAGCCCGCGGCGGGAAAACTAGAGCCAGCGACCTCTGGAGGTGAGGCCGCTGATATACTGACATCTGAAGACCCTCCATTGTTAGCCCGACAGGACGGTGGCAGTTACGCAACGACGGTCAAGTGCAGTAGTAGCGACGTTACCTCCGAGATATTAGTCACGATCGACGACGTCGAGGCCGTTGCGCTAATAGACACTGGTGCAGACTATTCCGTTGTCAGTAATGCTCTCGCAAAGAAGCTTAAGAAGGTGATGACTGAGTGGACCGGACCTCAGATACGTACCGCTGGAGGGCACTTAGTTAGCCCCGTGGGGTTATGCACCGCAAGGATAGGAATAAGAGGATTTGTGTATGTCGGCAGCTTTATTGTGCTTCCTGAGTGCTCCCGGGAACTGATTATAGGCATGGACTTTTTGCAAACAAACAATGCAGTCATTGACTTGCAAGAGTCCCAGGTTTCCTTTTCTACGGAGAACGCCATGGCCTTCTGTCGTGCGGAGAAACCAATCGTTCTATCTCTCCGCATTGTGGACGAAGATGTAACCGTGCCGCCACGTTCCAGTGTGACCGTTCTTGTGAGGAGTGAAGTTCTTCGCGACTGTGACGGATTAGCTGACGGAAACATCGGACTGCTACTAGAAAAAGGACTATGCGTGGCAAGAGGCCTGGTGAGCCTTCGTGATGGATGTGCGTATGTCCTATTAACTAACTTTTGAAATGAGCTGCAGCATGTTGCGAAGGGAACGTCCGTAGCATCGCTGCATGAGTACGTGCAAGTCTCAGATGTTTGCACTCTTGATAAAACTTCAGAGACAGTAGATAACATACTCCAGTCAGTAGACATTGACAGAGAGCTCTCATCATCTCAGAAGCAACAGATTGCTGACCTCATCACAGAGTTCGCCGAGTGCTTCTCCACTTCGTCGAAAGTCGGACGTACTCCCGCCGCAAAGCACCGTATCGTGGTCGAAGAACACGTGAGACCTGTGCATCAGCGCCCATACCGAGTAGCGCCAAAAGAAAGGGAAGCCATCAAGAACCAAGTGCAGGAAATGCTCAACGATGATGTAATCCAGCCATCCAACAGTCCGTGGGCATCACCGGTAGTGCTAGTCAAAAAGAAGGACAACACTCTGCGGTTTTGCATTGACTACAGAAAGCTGAGCCAAGTCACAAAGCGTGATGTTTACCCCCTTCCACGGATCGATGATGCCTTGGATAAGTTACGCAATGCTCATTTCTTTTCATCATTGGACTTAAAAAGTGGATATTGGCAGATCGAGGTGGACGAACGAGATCGCGAGAAGACCGCGTTTGTGACCCCAGACGGACTATACGAGTTCAAAGTGCTCCCTTTCGGTTTGTGCTCTGCTCCCGCTACCTTCCAGAGGATGATGGACACTGTGCTCTCCGGACTCAAGTGGCAATCGTGTCTCGTCTACCTCGACGATGTAGCGGTTTTTTCTTCTACCTTCGAGCAGCACATCCACCGACTGAGAATGGTACTGGATGCCATTCGCGTGGCAGCACTGACCATCAAACCGCAAAAGTGTCACTTTGGATTTCGTCAGCTTCGGTTCCTCGGGCACATAGTTAGTGCGGGAGGCATCCGCCCAGACCCGGAAAAGATTGCAGCAGTTGAAAAATTTCCGAAACCGCAAGACAGAAAGGCCGTCAGACGATTCCTGGGACTATGTGCCTACTACAGACGCTTTGTTGAAAACTTTGCTAAAATCGCTGAGCCTTTGACACGGCTAACGAAAGAAAGTGTACCATTTTCTTGGCGGGAGGAACAAGCAGCGGCTTTCTCAGAGTTGCGACGCCGTTTGCAGTCTCCTCCAATACTTGCGCATTTTGACGAAGAGGCCATTTTGACGAAGAGGCATTTTGACGAAGATACAGACATACATACCGACGCGAGTAACGTTGGCCTCGGTGCCATCCTCGTTCAGTGGCAGAATGGAGAAGAAAAGGTCATTGCTTACGCGAGCCGCACTCTATCGAATGCTGAGTCTAATTACTCAGCGACAGAGAAAGAGTGTCTCGCAGTTATATGGGCCATCAGCAAGTTTCGCCCATACCTCTACGGCAGACCGTTTCGAGCAATCAGTGATCATCATTCATTGTGTTGGCTGGCAAACATCAAGGACCCTTCAGGAAGACTTGCTAGATGGAGCCTGCGTCTGCAGGAACACGACATCACTGTGGTCTACAAGTCCGGTCTCAAGCACAATGACGCGGATTGCCTGTCTCGTGCACCTGTTGAGTCTCCATCATCTGACCAAGAACAAGACATCCCATTTCTTGGAGTTCTGAATGTGTCGGACATGGCTCGTCTTCAGCGAGAAGACCCGGAACTACGCCCGCTTATCCAATACTTGGAGGGTCACGAAATTGAGGTACCACAAGTTTTCGTCCGTGGTTTGAAATCCTATGTCCTCCGGAACGAGGTCCTATACAAGCGCAACTTCGTAAACACCGGTGAGACGTTTCTGCTTCTTTTACCATCATCACTGCGAGCAGAAATCTTAGAAGCGTGTCATGACGACCCATTGGCTGGCCATATGGGTAGTAGTCGCACTTTGGCCAGAATTCGCCGCAAGTATTATTGGCCGAAATTAAGGGATTCGGTGCACCATTATGTTAAGTCATGCCGTGATTGCCAGAGACGTAAAATACCACCATCGAAACCAGCGGGTCTGTTGCAACCAATAGAGCCACCAAAAGGGCCATTTCAGCAAGTGGGAATGGATTTGCTTGGTCCATTTCCTCTCTCTTCATCGGGAAAGCGCTGGATTGGGGTAGCAACAGACTACATGACTCGATAGGCTGAGACATCACCTCTCGTGAAAGGAACGGCGAACCAAGTAGCCCAGTTTTTCGTCACTCAGATTGTACTTCGACATGGCGCACCACAGGTTGTCATTACAGACAAAGGAACAGCATTTACTGCCCGTTTGATGCAGTCTGTTATGAAGCTCACCCACACCG